GAAAGAATTAACAAGATTGATAAACCCCTGGCCAGACTTATCAAAAAGAAAAGAGAAATGACCCAAATCAACAAAATCATGAATGAAAGAGGAGAGGTCACAATCAACACTGCAGAAATACAAACAATTTTAAGAGAATATTATGAGCAATTGTATGCCAACAAATTAGGCAATCTGGAAGAAATGGATGCATTCTTAGAAACATTTAAACTATCAAAACTGAAACAGGAAAAAATAGAAAATCCGAACAGACCCATAACCAGCAAAGAAATTAAATCAGTAATCAAAAATCTCCCAACATGAGTCCAGGCCTGGATGACTTCCCAGGGGAATCCTACCAAACTTTTTTTTTTTTTTTTACAAGAACTTGTAAAACTTTACTAGATATGGATAATAAAATAAAAAAGTTTAAAGAAGAGCAACAAATTAAACAAGGGTATTCTGAGGCTAGTATAAATACATATGCATGTATAAAATGAGCTGGATAGTTGAAAATAGCTTATCACAAAATACCATCAGGAAAACATCCTTTTAGTTTTTAGAAATCCTAATTTTACACACATTTTTGTTCTAGCTTTGTTTTATTAACAGGTGATTTTGATTAGAATTTGATTTTCTAATAGAGTAATATTGATACTGAAGTTTGGTATTTTAAGCAAACTATTTTAAAGTGGAAAGGCACTTCAGGAGTCTTATACCCTTGTTTTACAGATGAGTTTTATGTGATAAGGCCAAAGTCACGTAGTTACAAAGTGCCAGAAGCAAGACTGAACACGTATATGCTGACTCCAGATTCAGCTTATCCCACATAATAGGCTTAGTCCTTCTTTATCTGTTTTAAGAAAAAAAAAAATTCAGCTCTATACAAAAGACTATATTATCAGCACTATTAATGCCCTTGTTCTATTTACTGGAGTGAAAGTATTTCAGTAACATGAATAGATGTTAAGATTGATAGGTGGAGGTGGGCTGAGTGTTGAAGATACTAAAAAGGTTGGTAGCTATCAGAGGCTCATATAATTTACTTGATATTTCCAACAGATTCCTTTTTTAGTGAAGACTATCAAGAGGAATGAAGACTGGAATGGGGTCAGCATCTGTTACTCTCTTCAGCTTGATCAAGAATGGAAATATTTATTTTATTTGGAGGTGCTGAATGTTCTAATGAACATACCACAGAGGAATGGAAGATTTTGACTGGAATAACTAAGTTATTAACCTACTGTATAAACTGTATCTTTGGAAGTAATGTAACGATGGAGGTTAATAGTAAAACATCATTGTAGATTTTGTTCAGTATTAATGGGACAAGATAGCATGTGATATATATTACTATGAATTGCTCACTTCTCAAAAGTTTCTAAGTTATCTGTAACAGAAGCAACAGAAGTCCTATTTCTGCTCCAGTTTCTTCTTCTTAAGGGGGCATATATTATTTTGCATCTTCCAGGATTTTCTTTTCCTATTCATCAAGTCTTTCTTATTAACCTATTACGTGTTAGTTACTCTTCCGAGTTCTAGGAGTCTAAAAATCAGTAATGCCTACAGTAGGCTTAAAACTTCAGCTAAAACAAGTGGAAGCAAACATATCTGAGAATACTCTGATATATTAATTGTATCCAGTAAGTGCTAGAGAGGACTCAGTTACACATAACCATATTTGACTTCTCTGGGAGGTGTAGCTGGTAAGCTTAAGAGGGGCATCTTGAAGAACACTTCAAAAAATGAAAACTCTGATGCCAGTCATAACTTAAACTTTCGTTAGCATCAAGGATTAGGTAACAGCCATCTGAACAAGATATGGTATCAGTAAGAAGGGTGCCAAAGACAAATTTCATTTTACTTCAAATGTGTTTTATGTTATCCTTGGTTATTCACCAAATCATGGGGAATTTTAGCATGGTACCATTCATTATCAGTTACGACCATAGATGATCTAACCTTAAGTTTAAAATGAAAAACAGAAAAGGCAAAGGATAAATTAAATACATACAAGTCGACTTTGAAGATAGAAGATAAGCAAAATCACAGGACTTGTAACAGAAGCACAAAAATACATTTTTTTCCTAATTCCTAAATTGGACACTGGTAATAGGGATGAGAGTAAAACAAGTAAAGGAAAGTATTCATTCTCTTCTTTACTTGAGACAAGAGCATTTCCCAGAGTAGAATCAAAAGATAAATGTTCTTTGGTTTATGATGATTTCAGAAGAGAACTTAACCTTCATTTAGTCATTTATAGTGAAAGAGTTCAGCTTTTTCTGTCAACTAAAAAAAATTAATGGATAACAGCCTCACCTACGTACATCTAGCAACAAGAATTTCTTGTGATTAAAAATGCTTTTAAAAGATCTCTAACATGTTTACATACCCAAATAATTTGTTACTAATACTTCACAAGGAATATCGTTTTATTACTGTAATCACAAAATGATAATTTCTGTATAGGAGTATATAAGTGAACATTAATCAATGCATTGATAATTCACTTCATAAAGAGGGTGAACACACTACAGAATGTATTGTAAAGAAAAAATACTGTAAAATTTTCTGGTCTTGCAGTGTACTTTTTAGCGTAAGTATTTAAGACACAGTAGTGTTCAATTCAGCAAAGTACTGCAGAATGTCATGCCACAGCCCGCTTAATTCAGAGAGGGTCAGGACATGCAGCTTGTAATGAAATGTCAGAGTATATATATATACATATATATGTATATAAAAAAACCACATGTAATTCATAAAATATAGAGTGGTTTATTTAGATGGTTTTAAATGATTTCACTGTGGAATTCAGCATAACTGGAACAAACATCCAAGATCTTCGTAACAGAAATCTTCTTGCTAGGCAATGGCTTTGGCTTCAGGCAAGAATGCCTCCCAGTATTTTATCAGCTGTTGCTGTGTTTGTACTAATGATTCTAAGTACTTGATAATAACAGTTTTAAAATCTTTCACTCGTTCTTTCTCAAATCTTCCCACTTCTTTTCGAATTGTTTTAGAGATCTGTTCAAAATCTCTTTCTCCTTGTTGTACTTTTGCCTCCCACTCTCTTATTTCACTTTTAGTTTGCTGTATTTTATCTGGTTTATTAGCAACCATCATTTTTGCCTTAGTTTCACATTTTTTGAGCAAAGTAATTTGAGCATCTTCCCATTTCTGCCAGCACTTCATTCGATGGTCAAACACACCTTTCACTGTGGCAATAAGACGAATGTAGTCACTAAGTAGTTCTGAAAACATAAAAGTCAGCAAAAGCTTGTTCTTGATGTAACTGGTCTATCTTCTCCTCCACCTCCACAAGCTGAGACAAAGCTCTAGATAAAGCAGTATGGTCCTCAGAGTTACCTAACATGGCGGCACTTTTAGCAAAGGCAGCTGTGTTGGCTGAAAGCTCTTTTCTATGACAGACCAACGCTTCAACACTAGCATGAAGTTTCCTAAGTTGCTGATCCAGATTATCAAATTGCTGCTGCTTTTCTTCAAACCATGCATCCGATTCATTCATCTTGATTGTCATTTTGTTGACAGCGTCGGCAGCCTTGTTCACCATCCTCAATATTCCCGCTCCACTCAGAGCCTGTGTGTTAACTGCTCTAGGCAGCTCTGAACTTTCCAGGAACTGCCTTAAATCAGGATCCTGTAGTAAAGTTGGATGCTTTACTGTTCTTTGAAGATACCTTTCAAGAGCTGCTCTCCGTTTTTCTACAAATTCAGTGGATGATGAATCTTCTTTACCCACTTTGACCTTGGTCATGCCTACTATACTCTTTTCTGGAGCTGGTGCTACAATATAACCAACATGTAAATACTTGCTTGCTAACTTGCTATGCAAACCGAGAAAGTCACTGAATCTTCTTTTCACTGAAAATTCACTCTTACTGAACATGGAAAGAGAAGTCTTTGTTGTTGCTCTATAAGCCATGTAAGCATTCATGCCATCACCAACTTTCTCTGGATCTGATACACCAATTTCTATATCAAAAACATCTCCATTTGCTTCTTCTTCAATCTCCTCCCTGGATCTATCGAAGATCACAGGAGCAGACATACTCTTTGATTCAATTCTGGGAACAATGAGTGTAGTAGGGGTCACAGGTGTGACTGCAGGAGAAGGATCTGAAGACAGGATAGGTTCATTTTCTGGACTATCCAGAGAAACTTCTTCTGTGGCTTCTGCGAAAAGATCTTCTCTGTTGTCATCTAGCACCACCTCTGCAGGTTTTGGACCATTTGAGTTTGGACTCACATCTTCTGCAGGAAGACTAGCTGGTTCTGGAGATGATGGACTTGAGGACAGAAGCCTGTCTTCAGTGGCAGCAAGACGAGTAGATCTCCGCAACCCCCCCTACCAAACATTTAAAGGAGAATTAATACCTATTCTTCTGAAACTGTTCCAAAATGTAGAAATGGAAGGAAAACTTCCAAACTCATTTTATGATGCCAGCATTACCTTGATCCCAAAACTAGACAAAAACTCCATTAAAAAGGAGAATTACAGACCAATATTCTTTATGAACATGGATGCAAAAATTCTCACCAAAATACAAGCCAATAGGATCCAACAGTATTAAAAGGATTATTCAACCATGACCAACTAGGATTTATTCCTGGGCTGCAAGGGTGGTTCAACATCTGCAAATAAATCAAACAATGTGATACACCACATTAATAAAGGTAAGGATAAGAACCATAAGATCCACTCAATAGATGCAGAAAAAGCCTTTGACAAAATACAGCTCCCTTTCTTGATAAAAACCCTCTACAAAGTAGAGATAGATAGAACATACCTCAACATCATAAAGGCCATATATGAAAGACCCACAGCTCGTATCATCTTCAATGGGGAAAAACTGAGAGCTTTCCCCCAAATGTCAGGAACACTACAGGAATGTCCACTCTCACCACTGTTGTTCAACATAGTACTGGAAGTCCTAGCCTCAGCAATCAGACAACAAAAAGAAATAAAAGGCATCAAGATAGGCAAGGAAGAAGTCAAACTTTCACTCTTCACAGATGACATGATACTTTATGTAGAAAACCCCAAAAGACTGCACCAAAAAATTCTAGAACTGATACAGGAATTCAGCAAAGTTGCAGGATATAAAATAAACAGAAGTCTGTTGCATTTCTGTACACCAATAATGAAGCAACAGAAAGAGAAATCAAGGAATCAATCCCATTTACAATTACACCAAAAACCATAAGATACCTAGGAATAAACCTACCCCAGGTGAAAGATCTATACTCTGAAAACTATAGAACACTTATGTAAGAAATTGAGGAAGACACAAAGAAATGGAAAATCATCCCATGCTCATGGATTGGAAGAACAAATATTGTGAAAATGTCAATGTTACCCAAAGCAATCATTCAATGCAATCCATATCAAAATACCATCAACTTTTTTCAAGGAAATGGAACAAACAATCCTAAAATTTGTACAGAACCAAAAAAGACCCCAAATAGCCAAAGGAATGTTGAAAAAGAAAACCAAAGCTGGAAGCATCACAATTCCAGACTTCAAGCTGTATTACAAAGCTGTAATCATCAAGACACTATGGTACTACACAAAAACAGACACACAGATCAATGGAACAGAATAGAGAACCCAGATATGGACCTTCAACTGTATAGTCAAATAATCTTTGACAAAGCAGAAAATAATATCCAATGAAAAAAGACAATCTCTTCAACAAATGGTGTTGGGGAAAACGGGACAGTCACGTGCAGAAGAATGAAACTGGACTACTTTCTTATACCATACACAAAAATAAATTCAAAATGGATGAAATACCTAAATGTGAGACAGGAAGCCATCAAAATCCTGGAGGAGAACACAGGGAGCAACCTCTTTGACCTTGGCTGCAGCAACTTCTTACTAGACACATCTCCAGAGACCAGGGAAACAAAAGCAAAAATGGACTACTGGGACCTCATCAAGATAAAAAGCTTCTGCACAGCAAAGGAAACAATCAACAAGGCTAAAAAGCAACCTATGGAATAGAAGGTATTTGCAAATGACATATCAGATAAAGGGCTAGTATCCAAAATCTATAAAGAACTTATCAAACTCAACACCCAAAAAACAAAAAATCCAGTCAAGAAATGGGACATTTCTCCAAAGAAGACTTATGAATGGCTCATAGACACATGAAAAAATGCCCAACATCACTCATCATCAGGGAAATACAAATCAAAACCACAAGAAGATACCACCTCACACCTGTCAGAATGGCTAAAATTAACAACTTAGGAAACAACAGATGTTGGCAAGGATGCACAGAAAGGGTAATCCTCTTACACTGTTGGTCAGAACGCAAACTGGTGCAGTCGCTTTAGAAAACAGTATGGAGGTTCCACAAAAAGTTAAAAATAGAGCTACCCTATGACCCAGCAATTGCACAACTAGGTATTTATTTAAAGGATGCAAAAACAGTGATTTGAAGGAGCACATGCTCCTGAATGTTTATAGTAGCAATGTCCACAATAGCCAAAATATGGAAAGAGCCCATATGCCCATCAACAGATGAATGGATAAAGATGTGGTATATATATACAATGGACTATTTCTCAGCCATCAAAAGGAATGAAATCTTGCCATTTGCAATGACATGTATGGAACTAGAGGATATTATGCTAAGCAAAATAAGTCAGTCAGAGAAAGACAAATACCACATGATTTTACTCATATGTTGAATTTAAAAATCAAAACTGATGAACATAGGGAAAGGGAAAGAAAAATAAAATAAGATTAAAACAGAGAGGGAGACAAACCATAAGAGACTCTTAACTCTAGGAAATACACCGAGAGTTGCTGGAGGGGAGGTGGAGAAGGATGGGATAATTGGATGATGGGCATTAAGGAGGCACTTGATGTAATGAGCACTGGATGTTGTATGCAAGTGATGAATCACTAAATTCTACCCCTGAAACTAAAAATACACTATATGTTAACTAACTTGAATTTAAAATCTAAAA